ATTAATTTTAATATTATTATTTCTGAATGACATTGATTGAATGGTTATTTATGATAAAAAATATATAAAAATTAAATTCAAAAACTTCAAAAAGTGTAATACTTCATAAAATTGAAAATACAAAAAGTGTAATACTTCAAAATACGAAAAGAATACCTCAAAAGAATGTACCCAGATGTCAAAAAAAGATGAATTCCATATTCTAAATATAAATAAAAATATTGTTATATAAAACATAATCTATTTATATATAAAAGTGTTATATAAAACATAAAACATAGAAATGTTATATATCCCAAAAGGACCAAAATTTCCCATTACGTACTACATGATGCTATCACACTATCGTCAAATTGTACCATAAAAAAATTATTAAATAAAAAGTAGTTAATTAAGTATTAATAGAACTTGTGTCTATTGTTTTTGTCTCAAGGGAGATTAATCCCGTCACTGAATCTTCGTCATATAATTCAACAATATATGTTTATTTGTGGTAGAAGTAATGTTCCATGACATCCATCATGTTTTTAATTACAATATTTTTAATTTCTTTAGTGATGTTAATTTCGATTTTTAATTGTTTAATTAGTTTAATACTTTCAAAATTTACTAGTTAATTTATTGAAATTACTATTGGAATTATTTTGACATCCTTTAATTTCTCTATTTTCATTACCTTATTTTTTAATTCTTTGTACATGTTTCTTTTCTTCAAATACCCTCCATTAATATTATGATCTGCCACAATAGTCATATCAATTATTAGACCAGTTTTATTCTTTTTATCTAGTACATATATGTCTGGTATTTTATGATATTGTCATTCATTTTTTGACATTATTTGTTTGTTCCATATCATAGTAATGTCATTGTATTGGAACACTGTTTCATATGTTGATTTCTTGTATTGTTTATTTCATGTGTATTTTCTTATTATTTAATATGATAATACTAATATTGTCATGTTTCTCCATTTGTGATTTCTTATGACCAATGCAAGATAGTAGAATGTGTTCTACTGTGGCTATCTTGTCTTTACAAAGTGGGCAGTACTTCAATCTTTCATTTTTTATTATTTTATCTTTCCTGTACCCACTGAATTCCATCTTATATTTTAGTTAATTGGAGAAATACATTTTTCTTTATATTGATGGACTTCCATGCATTTATTGTAGTAGTTTTATCTACAAATTTTGACTCGATCCATCTTCTAAAATGTCTACTTGTTTGATTTCAATTTTTTGATGTATTTGTTGGTCATTATTTTATTTATTTTTATTACTACTTCTTTTTCTTTTTTATTTTCAATAAATTCATTTATTATTTCTTCTATTTTCGTTTCTGTGATTTTATGACCTAGGGCTTTTTTAATTCTATTCAATATTCCTTTCTTGGAATACCATCTATCTATTATGTTATTTCTTATTTCATTCTTGTACAATAGTACATTAATGTTCTAATTATTTCATTAACATATTCGTCACTTAGGCTTATTAATCATTCACCAATTTCATTTATATTGACATATAGACGGTCTTTGGAGTTACACAAATGTATTTTGCCTTTCTTAAATATTTTCTTATCTCTAAATCCATTCTATCTATGTTACATTCCAATTTACTACTGATGCTGAATATCTGAAGATGGGTATTACTTCAGTATTAATTCTTGTAATATATCTTCTATTACTACTTTCATCACTATTTATTTCTTCTATTTTCTTCATCATCTTTTATTTGATGATTTTACAAATGAAGGTATCATTAATTTCATCGGACTGCCATACTCCTAAATATTTATACAATTCCTCTCCTTCAATTATTGGGATGTTTTGCATTCAATCTGGTATTTTATTAATGTTTTTTATTACCATTCCTGATTTATTTTCATTTCCATCCTTATTCCACTTATTATTTGTTTAATTTCATTGTGGATTGTTCCCATT